ATTCGCAAAAATCGACACGGAAATTAATGGCGATTTAAATCAAAACTCAATTATGACAGCGTTGTCTGAATAGAATGCTAGTTTCTATTTGTGAATGCCATTAGGACGCAGTGCCTGCCTAATGATGGTGACTAACAAAGCCGTGAAAGGCTTCGGCCGATACGGCTACATGGTGGTTGCGTGTCTCTCTGCGTATTAAGCCTCGCTTTCTACTACACATCGGTGCGCATGCGCAGACCTCTTCTCTCTTTTATGTCCTGTCAGCCTGCATTTGCAGTCGAGCACCTGCCTGCGTAGTTATCTTTCCTTTATAACTGTTTAGACGTCGTGCGTGTCTATATCTGTCATATGCCACGACTTATAGCTCCAGGTCTTATTCACCTGCGTGCTACACTGCCCGCTAGTTCTCTCTCTCTACCTGATTATTTACCTAATTATTTACCTAATTATTTGCCTACTTATCTAAAGGCCTGCCCCGCCATGCCTCCCTGATTCACTATCTGCACATTTTGTCATACCTGTCTGCCAGTCGTCGATGAATGCGTGCCTGTCTGTCGCCATGGCGTCTGCATTTTCTTAGTGCGCGTAAAGATGCACGGATCATATCTTTACGGACTATGCTTACGATTCGGAACCTCTATACCACCCGCAGACTTACTTGATTGCTTTCCTTCCAGTTTCCGCCCGATGTGCTGCACTAGTTGTATGTAGTTTTATTAGCCGTTCTTATTGGGCGCTGATTATTAGCGAGTAGCATGCGTTTTTTTCTCCCGCATTTTCGTCCATCGTTCCTCTTTTAAGGGGTTTCTTTACTTCAAAGTAGTTTAGCATCATCGCTGAAACTTGCGGATTGATCTATTAAAGCATGGCGCGGTCGTTTTTACGCGAAATCAACGGCACATGTTCAGCGAAACTCTTACTTGAACACTCGTCTGCTGATTGTGACTCTGAAGTTTGATCTGTTAATGGCTGCGGGTTCAAAGCGGAGTCCGTTCGCGCATTTCTTTCTTATGATATATGTATGTAGCATTGTGTTATCGTACATCCTGAGGCGCTTGTTACAGACAGAAACGGCGAGAGTTTCAATGTTATCGTGTTATCTAACCATTTTTCCTCCTTCTCATATGCACACATACAGAAGCACGCGCACGCGCGCGGGCACACATACAGAAACACGCGCACGCGCGTAGGCGCATATATGGAAACATAGACGAGCGCTCACATAGACTCGCACGTACGCGCACGCACGCACACGCTCATGCTTCAAATACGCATGTACGCAAGCGTATGTACGCGTCTTTGGTACGCGTACTCTCTGCACATGTAAACCGGTAGAACAAAAACTACGCTTAGCCACCACACCATTATTATGGGTGTCACTTTCCCCCGGGCGTAGATAGACAAGATGGCGTCGGTGGCGTAGATCATACTAGATGCTTCAAAGATTAAATCTTCCACAGAAAGATTCTACAGTCATACTTCCGTGCTAGACATGACCTTATTTTTCTACCCCTAACCCTAACCCTAATCCTAACCCTAACCCTAACCCTAACCCTAACCCTAACCCTAACCCTGACCCTGACCCTAACCCTAATCTTAACACAAGTGCAACCACATCACGTGACCGTTCATCTACGCCCGGGTGAAAGTGTTTCCCCACCATTATAGTGGCCTAACTGGCTATTAAATTCTTCACTAAAGGCTGCGGCAATGGATATCAGTAACTCGGGTTTTTTTCTCTCCACATCCCAGGATGTGATATCCCGGGGATTAGATAGCCATCTGGAAACGTCTTATTAGACGTGATGTCGCTAAATTGCCTAGCGAGGATTTGATCTTCCCCCATCTCTCTCTATCTCTCTCTCTCTCTGCTCTCTCTCTCCTCTCTCTCTCTCTCTCTTCCCCCTCTGGTCTGCTTTCTCTTCTCTCTGCTCTCTCGCTCCTCTCTCTCTTTCTCTTTCTCTCCCTCTCTTGCTGCTCTCTCTCTCTCTCTCCCCTCTCTCTCTCTCTCTTTCTCTTTCTCTGCCTCTCTCTCGTCTCTCTCTCTCTCATCTCTGCTCTCTCTCTAGTCTCTCTCTCTCTTCTCGCGTCGCTCTCCTCGGGCGCATCTCTCTTCTACTATATCTTTTTTTTCTTTATCTCTGCTCTTTGCTCTCTCTCTCTCTCTCGCTTTTTCTCCTCTTCTTCTCTGCGTCTCTACTGCTCTCTCTCTCTCTCTCTCCCTTCTCGCTCGCTGCTCTTTCGCGCTGCTCGTCTGCACGTCTGCTCTATATATATTTTTTTCTCTTTTATTTCTGCTCTTTCTCTCTCTCTGCTCTCTCTATATCTCTCTCTTCTCTCTGCTTTGCTCTCTCATCTCTCTCTCTCATCTCTCTATCTCTCTCTCTTTGCTCCATCTCTCTCTTTCTCTCTCTCTCTATCTCTCTCTCTCTCTGCTCTCGTCATCTGCTCTCTCTCTCTCTCTCGTCTCTCGTCTGACTCGGCTCTGCTCTCTGCTCTCTCTCTTGTCTCTCTCTCTCTTCTCTCTCTCCTCTCTCTCTTTCTGCTCTCTCTCTCTTATCTTTAATCTTCTCTCTCTCTCTCTCTCTATCTGCTCTCTCTTTCTTTCTCTATCTCATCTTTTCCTCTTCTACTCTCTCTCGCTGCTCTCTCTCTCTCTCTCTCTCTATGCTGCTCTCTCTCTTTTTCTCTCTCTCTCTCTCGCGCTTCTGCCTCTCTTCGCGTCGCTCGCTCTCTCTCGGTCTCTCTCTCCTCTCTAGATTCGTCGTATGCACTTTACGTTGAGCTTGAACAGCTTCGCCGGAACGGTCTCCAGCCGCCTGGCTTTCACTAAGCCAGCTACGCGACACCCATGGCAACGAGCGGCGTGTGTGATTCCACCAAGTCTCTCTAAGCATTTAATCCCCCGTTGATGACACTGTCGTGCCCGGCCCACATAATATAGCGCTTAACTTATAGCCTGTTGATGTAGTAGGTGTTCGCGATCGAGATAATGCCGATAATTAAAGAAATTATGAATTAATTAAACACTAAGCTATTAGAGATAAATCGTTCTGACTTCCTCCTTGTCCCCTGTCATTATTGTTGCTGCCTTGTGAGATTGCGCACATTACATCCCCCCCCCCCACTTCGCTCACTAGTCTCGGCGCTCTGTCTCCCATCACAATGCTCGCTTCGCTTTTCTCATGCTTCTACAATTCGTTACGGCAGCCTTACGAGCGTTTCTTGTTGACAATGCTCGGTGCGTCTCCCCAATTATTCGATACTTAGTCCTAATATTATATCGATTCGGCGGCATTTTTGTTGGCGCGGTTATCGCATAAGCGCGTGCGTGCGTGCGTGCGTGCGTGCGTGCGTGCGTGCGTGCGTGCGTGGGGCGGGCGTGCTTGTCGACTTCGTGCGTCAACGCCACGCGACAGGTTGCTAAGCGCGACGGAATACGTGAGCGCTGTCTCGCGTCCTGTCGTCTTAGTCACGCGGCGAAAACACGGCGAAAACACGGCGAAAACACAGCGAAATGCATCGAGATGCGATCTCGCGTGACGGCTACTAATAGACGTTGAGTAATATGTCAGTGCATGTTCATTTTCGCGAGTTGTGAAATCGAAATCACCGATAGGCGTATCTCTTACGCAATGATACTATATGTAACACTTCAAGTGTACAGAAGACGCCGCACACACACACACACACACACACACCACACACACACACACACACACACACACACACACACACAACACACACACACACACACACAGCACACACACACACACACAGCACAACAAAACCACACACACACTCACTCACTCATCAACTCACTCACGCACGCACGCACGGCACGCGCGCGACACACACACACACACACACACCCGAGCGCGCGCACACGCAAAACACACACCACACTACACACACACACACACACACACACACACACACAGCACACACACAATCCGCGCGCACCCCCCCCCGCCGCGCGCACACACACAGCACGCACACACACACTCACGCACGCAGCGCTACGCACGCACGCACCATACAACAACCACACACACACACGCACACACACACACACACTCACGCACGCACCGCACGCACATACACACACACACAGCGGGCCGGGCGGCGCGCGCGCAGCACACACACAGCACACACACACCACACACATATATATAATATATACGCCACATGTACACACGCACACACACGCACATATTTACGCATATCGCATATATAAAATATGTGTATATCGAAAGCGTGAGCGAGAGAGAGAAAGAGAGAGAAAGAGAGAGAGAGAGAGAAGAGAGAGAGAGAGAGAGAGAGAGAGAAAGCTAAGACAATATATGGCGGAAGCAAAACTGTGAGGCAATGTACGCCTTATTAAACAGAAAATACTGAGCATGCGTCTATCGTCCGTACACAATTACTATATGGTGTTCCACGTCAATGTCTTAAACTAAATAAAGACCAATACACTGCAGATTACTGAAGAATATTACCAGAACTAGGCTTGCTTATAACTTTAATCATATAATTGCATTTCGCACTAATTAAACAAAATTATATTTGCTAGAATGGGACGCTCGCTTCTAATGTAAGCCTAATTGGTTCCGGTATATTGATAATAGGAATAGGAATATCCGTGTAAATTTTAACGTGCAAGAAAAAAAATGCAAGCGATGCGAAGCCAAAGCGAAGGAAAGAGATGATGATAAGCATCTAATAAAATCTCGCCGAAATGCAGACAGACGCACGGCATGCACGCACGAACAGTGCCACACAGCACACAGCACACAGCGCTACACGCACTACGCACACGCAACACGCACAACCGCACGACGCACACGCACACGGCAGCACGCACACACACAAACAACACACACACACAGCATGCACACGCACACTACACACGCACTACACACACGCACAACAACACACGCGCAGCACAATGCCGCCCACACATAAACGCGGCGCATGCATCGTGCATAGCATAATCCTACCTTGTAGAAGTAGTCCGACATCTGGTGCGTGTCGTTACCAATGACGGCCGTGTTATAGGAGCCGTTAGCGGCGTGCGTGCTGTCCCGTGCCGCCGCGTCCATCATGAACGCTTCTGCCGGCTCCATCGTCCGACGGCGAAAATATCACGCGATGTCGCCTCGTGTCAGCGACCAGCACGCTCCCGTGACAACAGCTTTCACGTACACGTCTCCCGTTATGTCACCTATGTCGCTGTCATTCGCCGACGCCAACGATCGTCAGCGGGGCGGCAGTGGACAGCGTCCGAGCGCCGTAACTCACGGCTGACCACCGGAGCGAACGCGAAGTCCGATGGCGAGCTGGTTTTGAGGCCGAGCGAGCTCCGCAATCCTGGTTTTAATTCGCCGGATTATACGACGATGCAGTGATTCGCATCGTCGACATCGCGTGTAGTGACTCCCGCGCGTGTGTAAGTCCGCCAGCGCTTATAGCCGCACGAGAGAAGCCACCGGTGGGTTCGGCGAGCGACGGATCGCTGGTGAGCTGTGTAGGTGTGGGTGACGTGCGGCGTACTGCGCCAGCGTGCGTCCTGATGCGGTGCAGCCACGGCGCTGCTGCTGCGTGCGAGTGACCGTCAGCAGCGCGCACGCCCGGCCGCTGTTCAGCACGCGCACGCGCACGCACGCACGCGCACACTCTCATATAGGTGCACGCACACACGCACGCACGCACGCGCGCGCACACACACACACCCGCACACACTCTCATATAGGTGCACGCACGCAATCAAATACACGCGTACACGAACGAACGCACACGCGCGCGCACACATACACGCGCACACACGCGAATGTGCGCACGCACGCGCGCGCACGGATATCCATACACCAACTTACGCATGCCCACGCACACAGACGCGCTAGCACACGCACGCACACACAGACGCACACGCACGCACACGCGCACGCGCACGTACACGCACACGGACACGGACACGCACACCCACGCCCACACAGAGTTTTACCGCGCGCGAGAGAGCACGAAAAATGGCAACGATTTTTCTCTTAGACTTTATTTTTCCGCGCTTAGGTCTCCATATTGTCAGTGTTCAACCAATTCAGTCTCGTCTAGTTAGGGAATCTTAAAGGGTTCCGATGCGCGAGAAGTGATTTGTATACTGGGGCGTGCGGCGAGCGCACGACCAACGCCGGGTATCGTTTCCCTTGCGACGTAACTACTCTCGCAACAGGTTTCGAAATCTCGGCGGAAAGACGGAAGCCATATACAGGCAATGTGTTTAGCATGTAGCACAGGTAGACGGCATGGCATGTGAGTGACGTGTACTTAATGCTTTGAGTGCGATATACGAATTCGAGCTTAACCGTGTTCAAATCATTGTTTTTTCGTTAACACATATATAAACAGGAGTTAATAAAGGCAAGGAGTTAATTTGTCTTTATTAACTCCTGATATAAAGTAAACGTATAATCGACATTACCTTTGCTCGGTCGTGCAGTGCGCACGAGAGTTCAACGTAACGGACGCGCCAAAGAATTACTTCCGCTACCTGAATCTACTATCATGAACTTTTTTTAGACACTAGCCATGAAATCCATGAATGAGACATGTACATATCCAAGCAAAAAACGCGTCTGTGCTTAATTTAAAAAAATTGCCTTTTGTGAGCATGGATGCCGAAATTCCCATCCTGCCGTTTCATATTTCAAACGCCAGTGCTGTGTGGCGTTTGAAATATGAAACGGCAGGATGGGAATTGCATAGATTTGCGTTCAAACGTTCGTGAACATATTGCCTTGCACGATTTTGCATTCGATCCTTGTGCTTTTTCGCACCCGCGCTAAAAGCCCGTCGAATTCCGCTAGAACTCTCACACGTGCAGCGTGTGCAATTTAATTCTATTTGAGATACACTCGACGTTTGAGCCAATTGTCCTGTAACAATTGCTATATATGTGCAACGCCGGCGTCTCCCATAATATATATATACATATATATATATATATATATATATTTGCGTGTGTGCGTGCGCGCGCGTGTGTGTATGTGTGCGTGCGTGCGTGCGTATGTGTGTGTATGTGTGTGTGTGGGCGTGCGTTTACGTATAGCGGAGAAAGAGAAACACATTAATTAGACATAAAACATTGCGTGTTACCACGATGACTAATAAATAAAAAAATGCAAGCCATATGCAAAAATATCAGTAAATATAACTATAAAGATAAAGAAATACATAATATGATATAAAATATAATCTAATGTATACACACGCACATACACGCACGCGCGCACGCACGGACACGCCTCCGCACCTACACGCTTGCGCGCGCACACACAATCACACGCACACGCACGCACGCCCATACACACACATACACATACAATTACTTACACATACCAATTCTAGGCATATAATTATCAGTTAGACAAATAGGTAATTTATTTACACGAAATTAACATTTATTCATCCAGCGGCATTTCTTTGTAGAATATAAACAGATAACAGATTCAGTGCTGAGCAAACCCGACCCCGCAGAATGGTACAGCTACTGTGAATATCCGCAATTTGCTTGCTAGCACATTAATTTTGTCATAGTGAGCACAGGATTTCGTTCTATTACCGCTGCTATATGACCTCCGCCAGACGATCTCACCAGGTTAGGATAGCTAATATACGACATTTCCTCGGTTACACCATAGATATACACAAACACATGTATCTGCATATATATATAATATTATATATATATATACATGTATATATATATATATATATATATAGTTGCACGTATCTTCAGTTGGTCTCATACATGGGTATTTTGCAGGTTGCTTATAACGCCAGCGACGCTATATAGAGCAATTAAAGAATGTCGAAGGCAGAAGCGAAGAAGTCACGTAATTTTACATGCCAAATATTATACTGTTTGCTTTGTTCTTTTAAATATCAAGGATGTATCTCTAGTGATTTTGTACTAAATATGTATCTAACTGGTGACGTTTTCATGAGAACAATGCAGCTGCAAATATACGAAGATGTTTATTTTTCAAGTTATTCTATAAACACTAGCCATTTGCGGTCCGTGAATCATGGGCCTCTAGCATTTACGCAGGCATCATCAAAACATGATCGCAATATCCAAGAAGTAAATGAAAAAGTAAAACAACTTGTAATGTAAAACAGACAGTTGATTAAAACAGAGTAGTGTACCTCGACTCAGATTCATGATGTGTCACCTGCCCAAGGGCAATGATACCTAACTAACACATAACACACAATTTTTCACAAAAGCTTCAATGCGGCTTTACACGCGAAGGTTATACGTCATAACCAGCCGATATTTCATTCATTATCCAGCGGCGAACACAAATTACACGAGATTACAAATAATTATCATTTGTAACCTAAATCACTACGTGGCATCCTGACTGCCACGCGCATATTCATTCATGTAACAAATGTTCGTTGCTGGCCAGCAGCTTCCCTCTGTCTCTTCTCTCACACACCTATTATTTACATCGCTCCACGACCCCTCGCAGTCAGTGCTACTATGCACAACTCGGAAATAATTACCTCACGTGCGGACACGAGGACGCGCGCGCACGCAAGCACGCATCCTATATATTCCCCTAAACTCTGTACATTGGCGTCGTGTGCATGTAAACGGAGTATTATAAAGCAAACAAAAAAACCAGCGAATCAGTGGGAACGTAGACCCTATTTAGGCCACGCATATATGCACAGATTATTATATTATTCCCAGTAAAACATTTAAAAATCACGTTTCGATCGTTTATTTGCTTAATATAATAACTATCATTCAAACAAGCAATATGTGAGTGGCACGCCACGTAACCCCTAGGCTAGTTCCGTCACCGCTTAATCTCCATCTATCCACACCGCTGTGCGACGTGTCACGACTTGCTCCATTTGTAACTTCAATTTTCTCGTCTCCTTCCCCTTCCACCTCCCTCATTCCTTCCTCCTCCTCCTCTCTATCTCTCTCCCTTTCTCTCTCTCTCTTTTTCTGTCCCTTCTCTACCACCTCTCTCTCCTTTTCTCAATCTCTCCCTTCCTCACTTCATCCATTTCTCTCCCCCCTCTCTCTTCCTTTGTTCTTCTCTCTTCCTCTATCTCTCCCTCTTTCCCTCTCCCGCTTCCTCTCTCTCCATCTCCTACTCCCTGCCTCGCTTCCTCCCTTTCTCTATTCGGCTCTCTCTCATTCGTCTCTCTCACCCCCTTATTTATCCCCTGTCTCTCCGCCCTTTCTCTTTCTTCCTTTCTTCCCTATTTATCTGCCTTTCTTTAGAGCGCGGTGGATACGGACGGCTCCATCTCAAATCCCGATCTTCTTCTCGTTATCAGTTTTATTCTGTGCATGCACGGGCTGCATGCGAGGTCCTCGTCACCTTCCTCGGTTCTACAGTAAGGCTTCCCTATAGCTGTTTATTCAGCAACCTAACGCAACGCAGGAAGAATCTTTCTATGACAAATAGTGTCATATAGGAGAGCGTATATGCGTATGTCGTATTGTCATAGATGCTAGCAGAACAGGCTGAAATACGTGTAACGGTGCACTATGTGTAGTAGTTCTCGAACAGCGCATGGCCGTTTTCATTCGGCCATATTCTGGAAGAGTCTGATGCCGCGGATCTCCCCGTAGACTTTACCTGACACTGAATGCGGAGAACAAATGTCTTGCCTCCTGCACTCACTTTTTAGTTCTTATGATCACCTATCACTCGCGCAGCTAGACTACGGCGGTGATACAGCCACGCGTCGCCCTCTCATCTGCTCCGTCGAGAGTATAGTTAGGATAACCCTAGAACTTCTAATGAAAGCTCGTTTATGCCGTGGAATTTCCTCCCCGTACTGTGAGGCGACCGCGTAATCACACGCTGTCGACAATAGTACTCTGGCGACACCCTGCAAAATATAATCGAGGCACTAGATTCTTAGAGAAGCTATTCGGGCCGAAGAGCGTATGTCGACGTGACTATGTATAGCATCCTTTATTGACGCTATAGTAGTGTATCCAGAGTAATATCATCCGTGGGAAGGATAGGGAAGGCGATGGGGAGCTTGAAATGTGAGATGCTGCCCACTAATTATAAACTCTCCATGTAATTTCAACATTGCCGAGTGTATGCGAATAGTTATTGGTTCGCTGATGCC